CTGGGTTGAAGTTTGGTCCCTCTTTTCCTTAAAAGAGCAATTGTATATTAAGAAAACATCTCAGCCCAGTCCAGATCAAGTCCATAAGTCTGATATTAACCCATATGCCCGATACTGGTCTATAAATTCCTCTTCAGACTTATGCAACACATGCAATGACTCAAAATGCAGGAAGATCAAAGGCCTGTGGGTGGGAAGTCTTGTAGATCCAGTGGCAGTGGAAGCATCTTAGCGCTGATGTGGGTCTACAACGTGACTCTTCCAGCTCCAGAGCTCTGGCTCAGATCAGTGTGGTTTCATGTGCTTGTCAGCAGGAAGATGAAGCAGGGAATGTGTGTCCTGCCGCTAGGAGGAAGATAGGAGTTCCCAGAATCATCCGGAGATGGCCATGCCCACACAGGCCTTATTGGCTGTGACCTGATTGACAGGTTAGACTCCACCCCTTCACTCAATTTGACAGTAGATTATGTAACTGCCACAACAAGGTACTATTAGTACCTTTCTAGTCCACAAGGTACAGAAGGATCAAATAAATGTTCCAAGGTCTGCCCATTAGGGCTGGAGACCCAGTCAATCTGGCTGGGAGCCCATGCCCTTCACAGCAATCCTAGTATTATCTCACTTGAGCCTCTTGTGAACTAATCTCCCGAGTTAGATATCACTTGACCTATTTTGTGTGCAGATTTTTTTTTCTTTACAAAGAAAACTCAATAAATGTTAGATCAGCAAATTAGAGGGCTGTTAGTTACATTTTAAGTTGAATACATATGTGTGCAATGGGAGTGTAGGGCAATCTTTAGTAAATTATAAACAAGTGCTATTGAAATTCAGGTTAGAGAGCTTTAGTCTAATTAAGGGGGATCTGGCAATATTAAAAGGTCTCTGGGTAGTGCAAATGGTTTGCACTTAACTACTGACCTTAAAGTTGACAGTTCAAATCCACGCAGTGGTGCTGTGGAGGAAAGGAAGGCCCAGAGATCTGCTCTCGTACAGATTACAGCCAAGAAAACCCTATGGGCTAGTTCTGCTTTGTAACGTGGAATTTCCAGGAGTCCAAATCAACTTGATGGCAGTAGGTTTGAGACTATCAAGATGGGTAGGCTGTGGTTTGAGTGTTAAAGAATGGCTGCAATAAGTAAGATAAGTTTTGAAGAAAGGTTTTTCAGTGCAGGAAGACTTCATTGAAAGTGTATACCAGTACCCAGAAGTAGATGTGTGTGAATAGAGAATAGTAAGAGGGTGTTAGTCTGGGTTGGCTAGTGAAACAAATTCATAGATACTCATATGTGTATAAGAAACAGCTTTATATACAAGTGATTGAATATTGAGAAAATATCCCAGCCCTGTCCAAATCAAGTCCATAAGTCCAATATTCACCCATATGTCCAATACCAATCTATAAATTCCTCTTCAGACTCATGAAACACATGCAATGATGCCGAATTCAGGAAGATCACAGGCCAGTGGTTGGAAAGTCTTGTGGATCCAGTGGTGGTGTAAGCATCTCAGTGCTGGCAGGGGTCTCCAGGTAGCTCCTCCAGCTCCAGGGCTCTAGCAGAGCTCTATGTGTCAGGAATCCAAAGCAGAGAGTGTGTGTCCCACCTCCAGGTAGGAAGATAGGAGTTCCCAGAATCCTCAGATGAAGGCCATGCCCACAGGGGGCCTAATTAACAGGCTGGACTCCACCCCTTCCCAAGTTGACAGGGGAGTTTATATAACTGCCACAGAGGGTAAAATAGGAG